ACTTCCACTTTTTTAAAGAAGTCAACCCCAAAAAAACAGTTATCTCGAAGATGTTCTTAGTCACTCGCTTCGCTTGTCAACCTTCTCAATCTTCTTTCGTCCAACCGAAGTTAGGTACTCATTTACACCTGAGTGAAGCGAGGAAAGCCGTGTAAAGTGCCTTTCCAAAGGGCACAAGATCGGTGACATGGGTGGGGTTCGAACTCGGGACCTCTTGGTTCCGAGCCGAGGACGCAACGGGTACGTCACCGCGGACGACCCCTCTTTTTATACATCGTAATTACATTTTGCCCTGGACAATGCACTTTCAAAATAAAAGTACATATTATCGATGCAGTTTTGTAACGCTTATTAACAATGCATGGTGTCGACACACTCAAGTTATTGGTTTATTTTCATGCTCGTACCAAAGTTGTAGATACCTGCTCATCTACAGATTCAGTTGGTCATTGACGAGAAGTAGTGGATGCCACTTGGAACGCCTGACAGTTTTCAAAACCTATCCTGTTTCTTCAGCAGGCAACTGATTTCTTGTGCAAAACGACAATTCTTAATAGAAAGTAAGCAATGCAAATGAATCACTTGTTTTCTGTCATACAGAGAAATGTAGCATTCAATCGGATGAACAGACAATTTACACTGTTCATGATACAGGCACGTAGTCTATTTGACGTGAAAAAAACTGCCAGACAACGTTGTGTCCCATGTACATTGTTTTACCACAGACAACCTTCTGATAATTTGCAGTACAATAGAAGCTCCATAAGCCAGACAAGTCCCAGACACTAAAATCATTCAAGTCATGATCAGTCGACAGACAATTCATGCCAGAGGGGTTTAAAAGGGACGACAAACGGATTCTCTGTCAGTTCTTGAGTCGACAGTGGAAGTCTCGGTCAGTCGAAGCATTACGTTGTTCCTGTTCAAGATGGTGGCACTTTCAGCATTCGTCCTTCTGATCACTATCGGTAAGTTGTTTTCCAACCTTTGTAGAAAACTTTATAACATGCAAGCTTTTTATCGAACGTTTATGATCTGATTAAAGTCTTTTAAGCCCACGGTAAATACAAATCTGATGCCTTGCATGTAGATATATACGAAGAAGGGCATTTCTTGTGCAGTTAGAAAGTTTTCCTTCTGACGCTTATCTATCTCTATATCCATTTCAAATCCATAGAAGAGTTAGAAAACATTGCACGCAAACAAAATGATTTAATCAGTCACTACATAATAAGGAGGGAGCCAGTCAAATACATTGACTGGATAGTATGTAATGTGTAATTTAGTGTGTGTGTGTGTCTTATGTTAACACCGAGCAGATTATTATTGGAATGAGCAGAGCACTTTGGACTAATGCCTCTGACCATTTACAGCTTAGAGGTACATATCCAATATTTTGTCACAAACTTCTCTGTTACATAGCGGATCATAATGACCCCCATTGGGGGTCTTCACGCTTCGTTAAAAATTGAAAAATCTCAAGATTCATTCTAAAGATCTCAATATTTTTGACGAAATCTTGAGATCTTATAAGACAATCTTGAGATTGTTCATGACAATCTCCAGATCTTTCAGAAAATCTTGAGATGAAAACAAAAGGTCTCAAGATCTTTCCAAATGTTTTCAAAGTATCTTGA